ATGGGGCGTGCATGGATCTTGACCTGCTCCCATCCTTGAGGTCGCTGAGGGGAGAGTGTGCTCAGAGCAAGAAGCACGGTGAGAGCTCCGAGGCCGCTGAGTTTCAAAGCCCATACTTCTGCTTCCATGAGGCTCCTCAGTCTGGAGATGCCCGGAGACCCTCCCAGACCCTGCAGTGAAGAAGTACGGAGGCCTGATCCGCCCCCGGCAGTCTTCTCTGGGACTGTGGACCCTCCGAGAACCCGGAGGACGCTGTAACGAGACTGGCATAGCTTCATAAGGAAGGCCCAAGTCTTCTGGACCCGAGGGTCTATTAGCCATTAGAAGTCTGTCATTTCATGTCTTAGGAAGTTCGTTCATGGCTACAACGTTCTAGTATGGACAGGTTGAGATGTGAGTAATGTCTTAATAAGAGCCACCTAGGTATTGGCCCACAAGTGGAGAAGTTACCGTTTATTCATGGCAGACATGGATTTTTTCAATTCCAGAAAATGTTCCAGTGAGGGCTTGCCCACTAATACAACTTGGCCCATTTTTGATGGAGTGGTTTTTATTGACTAGAATAAGCCAAGCTGGGCCTCATAGTCCAGGCATCCCGGTGTTCAGGCTCCAAGGGAGTCTATTCTTCACACAGATGTATGTGACAAGGTGATTACTCCATGGGCTAGGGTGGAGGCGGGGCAGGAAGGACGGAGATCGGACCTTGAGTGCCTGGTGACCCTGGGACGGTGAGCCACGCATTTCTTAAACAACTTTGTAGACAGTGACCGTAAGAGTGAAACCGTGAAGGAGAAGCAGAAGGAGAACCCACCATCATCAGCTTTCTTCTAAACCTCACCGAGAAAGGTCTCCAGTCAAGGTAGAAGAGCCCTTTCCAGTTCTTTTTTCAAAGCAGCTCTGGAAACATCTCCCGTAAACAGCATCCAGGTTTAAAGCCCTGCAGTTCAGGTGCCAGTTGTGCGATTTGGAGAGGAGAGGCAGCGGAGAGCAGGACAGGGCAAGGACCTGGCCCCTCGTCCAGACCCTGCTACTTTGACCAAGGCTCGTCACCTCTCCAAGCCTCCATTTTTTGCCAAGGTGAAATAGGAGTGCTAGTCCCTGCCTTGCAGCACCCAGGAAGTGGCTGAGAATCAAGCCTGTGTCTAAGGTGTACTGAAGAAAGTGACCACATCTGTGTCCCAGCGTCTTAGGAAGTGCTCTCTGTAAACCACTCTCCTGGCCTTCAGAATGGAGCAGATCAAACCAATGTCTGCAGAGGGAGAACTCAAACCACAAAACACAAGCTCACTGCCATCAAGCCCACTCTGACGCGTAGCAACCTTTCAGGACAAGGTAGAACTGCCCCTGTGGGTTTCCAAGACTGTAAATCTTTACAGGGGCAGAAAGCCTCATTCTTCTCCCCGAGGGGCGCCTGGTGGATTCAAAGTGCTGGCTTTGTGATTAGCAGCCCAAGTCATAACCACCAGCACCCTAGTGTACGTAGGAAGGGCTTCTGTCTGCAGAGAAAGCCTTGAAGCTATGAGAGGAGATTCGGGTTCTAATCCAGCCACTAATAACTTAGCCTGTGATGTATGCCAGTAACTACCTCTCTGGGTCTCTACAAACTAGAGATGATAACAGACACACCCCCTCGTTTTGTCCATTTGGAAAATGGGAATAATAGTAGTCCTACTTTCTTTCCCTATAAAACGCAGCTGTTTCCTCCGCAGGGAAGTAAGTGAGTTGCTTTCCACACCGGCCTTGACATACTTCCCAGGGCTGGGAGGTTCCAAGGAGACAGGAGACTAACCTGATGTGCTCTGGGTTGGTGCTGGGGGTCACTCACCAGCCTGCTGCCACGGCGCTGACAGTCTGGGGAGGGAGATGCGTGATCACCGGCTAACCACATACACATCACTTTGGGGGAAATGGCTCTCTTCCTGCTGGAGAACATGGCTCGGCTGTGAATGGTGTTCCTCCCCTGTCGAAGTTCCTGAGGCTTCCAAGACGGAGAACAGGGAAACGGATTCTGGTATCCTAGGGAGTAGCTGGCTACCACCAGGAAGAGACACTCTGTGCCCTAGTCCTCCGTGTGGGCTGGCATCTCTCCTGTCTTCTGGCTAGCCTTTCTATTTTCATGTTGTCAGCATTAAGCTGTGTTTGCAGGGAGGACCCAATTTTATAATCAAGTGAGGACTCTTGTCCCGAAGCCAAGCTCCATGGACCCCCTCAATCACTCTGACAGCCCAGGGGAAGGTTTTGTGATCCAAGAACACAGGGAGGCAGGGAATGAAATAGATCCCTCAAAGGATCGGTCATGTGCCCCACACGTTCCCATGGCTCCAACAACCGGGAAGAGGGAGGGAGCCGCACACCTTCTGAGAATTTCAGAGCCAAGGCCCAAAAGAAGGTTTACTGATCCCCATGACAGTGTTTGTTTTCCAAGCGACTGTCTTCATTCCTGAAGAGTTCAGACCTTTTCAATAGTGTCCATCTCTTTCTTTCCCCCTTGCAACAGCAATGCCTGGCTTTAAGAAATACCTGGCTGCACCTCCCGCGCTTCTCAGCACCTAAAAGACCAAAGTCAAACCTTGCTGTGTTCCCTCCTGTACGGATTGTTTTTCCAAACTCTTGCAGCTAGGTTTATAGCCCTTTCTTGGCTGGCTTTGAAATGCCCTACAGATCTCCCTTTTGATAAACTTCTGCTGGGCCAGGCGTTTTGCTATCATCTTTCATTGTTGTCTTCCCAGGTAAATTTTTTCAAGGGGAAGAGTTCACTTGGCAGGTTGGCTGTACGTGTCCTGATCTACAGTCGGGTCTTCTCGTATCCACTAACCCTGCCCCTCGTGCAAAGCACGTCGGGCAACTGGCTGAGGAGAGAGGAGGGCGGGGCGAGGTCCTTGCATTCAGAACCCGGAACATACAGGAACAGCAAAATCTGCAAGAACCAATGTCGCTCAGGAGCTCATTTTTTCACCATGTCTTTGCCTGGTATTTAATTCCTTAGTCTGATGAGGAGAGATTGTTCTTCTAGTTGGGCTTCTCTAAGCAGCCGTGGTCCGTTAGGGGTAGAGCGTTCGTGCCAAGAGAAGGAAGACACTCTGAGAATTGCGCTCCCTTCCTGCCTGCACCCTCACTGTGGCACCCAGCCTCTGGCCCCGATGGCAGTCTCTCTCATTGGGGGTTCCTGCTTGCATGTGCGCCCTTCTGGGGGCCCTCTCTCTTCCAGCACTCATCTCACCGGGCAATATTTTTACGGTGAAAGGGGCAGCAAATTCTGCGTCCCAGAGGAATAGAAAAGGTTTGCTGCTAGAAGGTGAATCACCTCTTCCCTCCCTCCCTTAACTGCAGTGGCTGGAGGCCGGGACCCAGAGTCGACATTGACTCTGAGTTTAGAAGCGAACCGTCAGGACTGGGTTAAGGTGGAGGGAGCGGTGTGACCCCTAAGTCAGCTTCGCAACGTTGAGACTAGGACCCTACACACGCCGTATCTTGTTCCGCCTGGTACTGCTTTCACCGATCCACTGGAACCTTTGATCATCAAAAAATAGATGAAGGAAAACGAGAGGGAGCGTGTCAGGGGCTGCCCCACCATGCCCCCTTCCCCACCCAGCCTGCACTTCCTGCGGGCTGCACCTCTCCGGAGATTCGTGGAAAGAGCCCCAGGAGCCCCAGCTTCTAGATCCAATTTTGCCCGTCACCGGGTATGAAATTTGGAGAAAGTTGCTTCGCTCCTCTGTGTCTCAGGTTCTCGGTTTGTAAAACAGACTCAGAAATAGGTGCCTGTCTTCCTCTTCCTGAATCCTGTAGGTTGTGGTATCATATGAAATGAGAGGAGTGACCTTTGGAAGAATGTAGTGCTGAGGTTTTGCAAGCAAGTAGTGACCTCCTCTAAACCACTTCCCAACTACTGGAACGGCTTTCAAAGGGCCACTTCTTGCCACCGAGGGCGGGGCTGCAGAATCTGGGAAGGAGGCTCGTCTCCAGACGTTCTGTCCGTGTTTATGGGCCACGTAGGCTCACATTCTGTCCAAAAGCTATTGCCCTTCTGCCCTTTTGTGAAGCTCTAAAAACAGCCTGTGTCTGCCCCCACCCCACCCCCTGCCTTCCAAGCGTTAGTCAGTCTTGATACCCTTGTCTTCCTGGGTATCTCCACAAATAGGCCCGGCACAGGGTCCTGAGGTTCACACAATCCTTGCTCCGCCATTTACCCTTCTGTTGTTGTTGCTATCGAGTGCGTCTCGACACATAGCGACCCAACAGCAAGAGAATGAAAGGCTGCCCAGCCCTTTGCCAGCCTCACACTCCTGGCTCTGTTGGAGCCTATCGTGACCGCTGCCACTAGGTCCATCCTTCTCCTGCAGGGTCTTGCTCTTTTTCACCGGCCCTCTACTTTCACCAAGCACCATGTCCTTCTCCAAGGACTGAACCCTCCACCTCCCACGTCCAAGGTCCGTGGGATGAAGTCAGCCATCCTTGCTTCCAGGGAGCCTGCTGGCTGGACTTTGGTCCAACATGGATTGGTTCATCCTTCTGAAAGTGCGTGGTCTGTCAAGTGTTCTCCACCAACACCGTGATCAAACACACAAGTGCTTCTGTTCTCCTTACTCATCGTGCAGTTCTCACGTGTGTAAGCGGCGATTGGAAATACCGTGGGCTGGACCAGGCGAACCTCAGTCCTCAAAGTGACAGGGGTGACTCTAACACAGAGTCTTTTTGCGGCAGGTTGCCCCAGGTGAGGTACGACTTTGGATCTTGCCTGCTGCTTCCGTGAGCGTTCATGTGGATACGAGTAAAATTAAATCCCTGACAACAGAAGGTCAAATGGGACATGTAAAGGCGTCTCCTGGCTAAACATGTGCAGCTCTGTCTGCTCCCTGGCTTACTTCTAAGAGAATTCTTGGACACTCCGTCTCAAGATGGTTTACCCATTCTAAAGGTATTTGTGAATCGGACCAGAGAGAAGACCACTCCTGCCAACTGGGCTGATCCCCTTCTCTCCCCTTGTTGCCCCTGTGCAGGGAATATCATCGGCTCTGGGATCTTCGTCTCGCCAAAGGGCGTGCTGGAGAATGCCGGCTCCGTGGGCCTCTCGCTCATCGTCTGGATTGTGACAGGCCTCATCACAGCGGTGGGAGCCCTGTGCTATGCCGAGCTTGGGGTCACCATCCCCAAATCTGGCGGCGACTACTCCTATGTCAAGGATATCTTCGGAGGACTGGCTGGGTAAGAGGATCTGCAGGGGCCTGAGCAGTCTAGGGAGAAAGCAAAGGGCGGCACAGAGAGAGGTCAGTTGGGAGGAAGCCCACCTTGGGGGGGGGGG